ATGATTTGAGATACATAGATGTTACTTCTATGGATTTCAGCAAAACGTTTGACAAGGTGATTCATCCGAGGCCGCCCATGAAGCTATGTTTTGAAGACAGCGACAATCTACTTGCATGAATAGGACAGTCCTTGTTAATGGGAAACTGAAGGTACGCCTCAGTTGGTACCTCTCCTGTTGATTGTCCACACATAATGGGTTGCGGTTGGAGACAACACTGGACCCCCTGGTATGTCCCCTGTACAGAGAGGAGCTGCTGAGAATGTTCACCTTCTCAGCAGAGCCGTTACCACGTAACAAATCAGCCTGCAATTCGCTAAAGAAAACCTCAGGATAGAAAATCTCTACTCCTAATGCTATAGGCGGGCAAAATGATAGTGAATTCTGAGGTCATTAGAGAAGTGTAACCGAACAAAAAGAAGCAATCTTCAAGACCAAAACGTGAAAGTTCAAAACTACAACTTCCCTGCACTTGAGCTGTTGATGTTAGATGTTTTAAAGCCTTTCATCCTCAAACTGCAAGTCAGCATTTGTGATCTATGTTTTTGTTAACCGTAAAAATTTTTATGGTAACCTTAAAAGCTTTATTCACATCTCAGAGCTAGGAAAACTTGATTAAAGTAGGTGCTCATAGTACTTAAATCCTACTTGAGGCAGCTTCCAGAGGTCTTCGATACAGCAACTCCCACAACACTCATTTGAAAAATACAAAGATCTGTAAAAGAGTCAGTTGTGGGGCTAAGGGGAAGGCATACGCTGAAAGACACTTTTCTGGAAACCAGACCCATTATTATTATTATTATTAGTCCCTTGGTTTCCTAATGGAACATAGGGATTCAGTAGCACGTCTTCAGTGAACTCTGTTCTCTAAAATCTTTTGAACCTGGTTCCGCGACAGCCCAGAAGATCTCATTTCCTCCTCGCACGATCTCCTCCATGTCACCCTCGAACGACCAACTCGTCGCTTCCCATGGGGGTTCCACTCAAGGGCCTGACGCGTGATGTCCCCAGTCGGTCTTCTCAGTGTACGCCTAATCCATCTCCACTTCCTTCTACATATTTGTTGAGCGATAGGTTCTTGGTTGGTTCGTTCAAATTATAATTTACTAACCCACAAAACATCCACCTCACCAAAGCTAAAATCAAGAAAGCAGAAGAGACTTTCTTCTCCACTGCAGGAGCGGACTAAAAACTCGGATCACACCGAAATAACCATCAATTCTCTACGCTTGCACTACCACTATTGGATATTGGTTATTGCTGAAAATTGTTTTGTGCGCTGCTTAAATTAGGCGTGGGTTTGAAAACGTTTCTAACGACGCCTAGCTCTAAATGTTTCATGGTCTGTAAATGAGTATTGCGAATAAAAAGCAGTCTCATACGTCGGAAGCGTGAGTTTGATTTTTTCCTTATCCTGACTACCTTTCAAAGCATACAGTTTTGTCTCGAAGTCCCCGTTTATGTATTTAATTGTGTTTACGTTAATAACAATGCAGTGAGTAAAATGAAGATGAAGTTGATATGGACATCATATTTTCAACAAATTTCATTTATATGAGGTTGAGTGAAGGGAATATATGCAACCTCTTTTATTAGAAATACCAAATATCTCTCAATTAAAATAAGCCGTCAAAATCTATAGTTCAGTTTGTTAAACCTGGATTAGATCTAATCTGATAAAAGACATCATTCACAGCGGGCATTATATAGTTAACTTCAAGTTATTTGTGGGTTTCCCATCAGGATAATAGCAAGGGATTTCATACGAGACTTATCAAAATGATTTTTGTAGGTCAACAGCATATTTTTCTTTGATTGACTAAAACCATGATCGATAAGGCTGTTTAGGGGCATTAACATAAAATTGGTTCAACATGCTGTCCAAAACTCTTAACGGAATTTAAATGCTCTATCGCTAAGCTGATTCTACTCTTGATTCTATTCTGTTCCAAGACGTGTATTTATGGAGTGACGTTATACATAAAAATCTGTTTGCCAGTTTGGGCACGTCAATTAATCCCTATGGTGTGGATGATGTATGTTACTTGAATGAGCTTTATTAACAGGCATCGTGAAAACGTTAGGTAATATAAACTACTCAGAAAATAAAGAAAGACCAAATAATTGCGTCTTATCTAACTCATTGAGGCCTGAATATATAAATCTTTCGCAAAAATTGAAAATTAGGTCAAAATATACATGTATCTGAAATGGCTGTGGTTTGGGAGACTTGAATTATTAGTACTAGGTGGTGATTGAAGATAGAATGAAGAAATGAATCGCTGAAGGATTGGGACCGGGTATCTATAAGTTGCCTGTCTGGTGCTTTATTAACTGAGAAACAAGATTCGTCTGCTGACTGAGTTTTAATTTTACTTCAGTCATATGTATGTACACAGTATTTTATAATCAATAAACTATTTTCAAACAAGATATAAAGTGGAATGTTCCGCATTTTATAGCAGTTGTTATCCAAATGTGATTTAACTCGAGCACATGTTTTCCGTGTTTTAATGGATGCAGAAAAAAAGACAATGGTAGGATTTTTGAATGCTTGTTTGAAAGGTGGGGATATCAAGACTGTATTGATTTGTGAGTGACCTAGCTGGATATTTGGCTCAAATGGAACCCCTATGAAATACTCAGTCTGTTTTTGAACATGATAACGTAAAATTAAAAGTCTATGAGAATCTATAGATTTCTACTGCCCCATTCAAACTGGGTGATACAAAAAGGGATTTTACAGTTGGCTCTGACCTCTATAGTGGAAAACAGCTTACTTGTAAGCTAAATGAATATCTTGGTAATGAAGGGAATCGAAATGCCATAAGTAACCATGTGCACCTTCGTGCAATAGGCAGTGAGTCACACCTTTTGTGTGAGAACCGGTGATACTGCTTGCCTGCCAAAACCTTGGTAACAAACTGCGGAAAGGCTTACATGCAATTGTTGCATTGCTGACGACAACTAGTGATATCTATCATCACTATCCTGTCATAACTTTATCATAGATATGCTAATTAATGTGACGTTATATAACTCTGAATTCTCATGTATCAGCATACCGCCTGAAAAGTAACTGACCGACTCGGACTGGAGAAACGAAATTATTCGGTGAGGTAAAGGTTTTAACGAAGTCTATAGTTTCCTGAAAGCTTGCGCAAGAAACTGAATGTGTTTCACTTGCTTTTTCTTCCTTCAAATGTAAGACTAAGCTTGCAGAATAGTCTCAGCTGACTCCTCAGTATGAATAAGTGGTGTCAGTTGATGGAATCTGTCAAGCATTTAGCCTCCATGGAAAATGTTGTCAGCTCTGATAGATGCTGACGAAATCTCAGCATATATTCAAAAGTTCTTTCTCAGTATTTTCCATCAGCAAAACAGAGGACTAGTATGTTGCATGCGTTCATCACTAATGACGATAAAAGCCGCAGAATGTTAAAGGTAAATATCCTCACAGAATTATTTGTATTTAGTGGAGCCATAGAGTGAGCGCTTTTGACGTCGTGCAGACTACAAGTGAAGGAAGGAAATTCATTTGATGACTGTGAAGCACTACCAACAAAGGGAGTGGAATGTATTACGCATGACGAGCTAGCATGCACCTCAACCCACGACTTTAGTCAAAATAGAACAAGAGTTGAAAAAGGCTAAATATTAAGATTAGAAACAAATGTAAAAGTATTTAACTTTTATTTAAACTTTAAAGGAAAGTGTAACCGCGCCATTAGGTTCACCAGCATGATATACTTTATTGTTTAGAAAACAGCTGATTACATGGCTTAAAATCAATCCTAATGGCAAACGTTTATCCAATACCCACGAATCTCTAATTCTTCAACAATCTATTGAGCCTCTCTGGCTGATTATGTCTCTTCTCATGGGTGTTACGCAAGCCTAGTCATAGTCTGCGCTGTCACACTTTCATCTGAAGCAAGTTAGGCTGGATAAAAGTCGGATGTCTGACAGACTGGAATATAAAACCAGTTTATGAACCCTTCATCTATTGATCTGAGATGTGTAGGGGTATGTATACTTCCCGGTTGAGGTCCATGTACTATACAAAACCGGTGATCAGAGGCTTTAGGTGATATGACTCAGAATTGACCATAGTAGGGCAGATGTATTTACATATTATCTTCATGCCAGTCATCATACTAAAACGGATATCGTCTCACTTCTTATTCTCTTTTAACGACTTTCTGCAATTAGTAACTGCTCTTTTGCTCATTTGTTTTGTCTTCCGCTTTGATTCATTCTCGCCTGATGTGTTGAACTGAGGTGTGGTAACTTGGATCTTTACATAGTGGTTCCATGTCTTATGTTGATACCAGCTGATTGACTTCAGTAATGCTCTATTTCACTGAAATTTCTCTTAATAAAATGCGAAATATAGCAACTGCAACATGTGCACTTTTGTATAAGGCTCAAAGTTTCTGTGGATTCTGTGTTCTCGAGGGCTCAAAATCGAGAGATTTTCATTTCATTTGCTCTTATTGAGTCAAAAGACTGGTCACTTTTGAAGGATTTATCTATAATTCGGGAAAATGCGTACAATAACTGATTAATTTCAGTGTTTATGAGTGAACATAATTGAGTTGTAAGCTTTTCATTTGGTTTTAGCCGACCTAATGACAGAGACACTTCCAGAGCTTCTGTACCTACAAATCGGATATCAGCGCGTAGCTGAAGAAAGTTGACACGGTCAATAAGGATACGAGGAAGTTAAGCAGGGAGTTTCCGCATGTTAAGACTTCAGTTACTACAAAATACCAACAAATCAATCAAAAACAAGTATCTAACAATACGCCTTCTTACTCTGCTTCGAAGTTCCCTTGGAAATTATTGAATGGTAAAGATGTAAAGTGCTTAAATCTCGACGGCATCATGAAAATTCAAACAGAAATCAAACCATTCACAGATAACATTGTCAAATCAAAACCTGCAATGGTTAGCAAGGACGAAAAAGATTTTTCAAGTAATTTGACAAAAAATATCCTATGCACAGTCATCACCCTCCGAAACTAATGGATAATTGCTATGTAAATAAGCCAGATTGCAAATATCCTTCCAACTTATCATCAGCTAGGTCGAAATCAATGAAAAAGAGTACATCTTTTACTGGCCAGACTGAGGAAACAAACAGCAAGCCCGACTCATCATCAAATGAAAGTCAAATATCTGCATGGTTGTTGCAATGTAATAATGCTTCTGTGACATTTGGTGATGAAAATGATAGACAACCTGAGAACAAGACACCAACTGAAGGTCAGCAAATAAACTATAATCCACAGAAGCATTTCAATGATCATTCACGTTCATACTCTACGTATGAGCAAAAGCAGGATGCAGGCAAGGTGGCTAGTGTAAATAAAAAGGAACTACGATCAATTTTTAATTCGAAAAATTCTAGCCTCAATGAAGTGAGTGAAAATAATCTAAAGAGTTTCACTAAGCAACTAATACATTCAAATCACGAACGGTTGGATGAACAGAATAAATTGAATGATGTAAAAAATAATCATAGTCAGTCTTTATATGTGAAAAAAAATGCAAAAAAATTATCAGATAAAGTTTCAGATAATGATGAATTTAATGTACAAATGAATCCGAACAATGTTAAATATTATGATGCTAATTCAACGAATGCAACTGACTGGGCTAGTGTGTCTTCATCTGAGTGGGGTGACGATATGTGTGTAAGTAATGTAGAACGCTGTTTTTCGAAGTATATTATTTGATATTAATTTATCTCATTTTCAGGAATGAAATGTTTCAACAGTTAGTTGTTTTTTATTTGCAGGATGGATGTTGTCATGATTTGGAAGAAAAGAAAGAGGAATTAAGAAATAGGAAACACTAGGATTTTACATTTTTTATTTGTGATAATACTTAGCAGTTTCCACAAATGACGGCTAAGGACAATGAGTCAGAGGTTTACGAAGACTAGTCTGTTGAGTCAGTAACCTGAAGTTCGCTTGTCAGTTTATCTGGAAGTTACATGATTTGCTATGCAGTTCGACTTCTTTTCCTTAACCTAATAAAGTGAGTTTGAAATCAGACTATTCGAATCATTCAGCCTATAATTTACATTGGAAAATTATGCATTGTGTTTGGCAAGTATATGCTCCAAACAACTGCTATACAGTGGCCTAAAAGGCTTTATAGAAAACAATACTATGACTTATTTCTGTGAGATTTTTAGACATTGGCGTATATCTGCCTTGTGTTGTTCGCAATTAGAATTCGACAACGGTGAATAACATGGATCCTACAAAGTTTGCAGATGGTTGCAAAAATGACTCATTGTTGAGGTGCATTCAATATTCCATCTTTCCACAGACGCTTGAATCACGCTGTCAAATATGGGGGGGGGCAGGGGAATGGTCGTTGGTGGATCGGAGTATATAATTTTAAGGCGGAGAATGAGTTCTGTTTTCAGAAGAATGCATTTAGGAACCAAACTTGCCGTTTTTTGAGAAAACAAGCTCAAGCTTCAACGTAAACATCAACAATACATAGGTGATCACCCTGATTCCCATTACGTACGTCAAGAAATATATATATAGACATGCATACATTGAGAGAAGTAATCAAACTATGCAGTCAAAGTAATGTGCCGTTAAATGATAAAATATAGCAAAACAACAGAGGGCAGACAAATATCTTTGTCTACTGGTAAACACCTTGAAGAAATGGGTGATAGGATTGACCTTGAGAAGGCCTGTAAAGCTTTGTATGGATCCTGTTTGGACTATATACTCAGTTTAGGTAAATCCTTGGATGTACGAAAATTCAAATTTACTTTATATTTTCTCATGCAGTTTCCGTTTCTTGTAACCATGGTTGGTAATCCTTATGGCATTTTTATTGAACAACAGTGACGGGAAAACATCGTTTTCTTCTCTTTCATCCTATTATTCCCATATTTGCATTCTCTCAGTTCATTTTTATGATTCCATTTTATGTTCACTCAACAATGAAAAAGAATATTTACCTAAACTCATAAAACAATTTACTTTAGTGTGCATCGAAATTTTTCGAAATTGTCAGTTGGTTACTTCACCCATTCGTTATCAGTGTGGCACACAAAGCAATCAAATTCCTGTAGAACATCTGATGAAAACCAAAGGATCGGAGATTCACAGAAGACTAGATGAACATAAGATACGAAATTATTTACGAGGACTGTCGACGTCAGTGTGTGACCAATTAAGTCATCGAATAGGTCAAAGAATTTATAAGCATCAAATAGTAGTCAAACAACATGATATATCACCATCGATATCAACGCATTTGGATGAACACAAGCACAAATTGTATTTGAACAACATGGAAATAATACGACAAGCAAGCTCAATTGCTGCAAGAGAATTCCTGGGAGTGTGATACTTCAACCGAATGGCTGTCACCAGACACGTGGAAGATGACCCAATATACAGACTACTAAGAATGGATCAACGAACTAGTAACTAACCAAGGAAATCAGTAACTAGATATTAGGTTAATAGCATGGGTCGAATAATACCAACCGGTATAAAGGCCAACCTCTGATAAAAAGAAGAAAGGTCACCTCCACTCACAAGTCAACAACTCTCAAGTTTGGTGAATATCCTTCATAAACATTCATGCAATATGAAAATGCTTCAGTTCCTTATGAAGTAAATACTGATGAATTTACCTAGCCCGGCGATGAAAGGTTAAGGGGAAAAATTCAAAGCCTGGAGAACGTGGTTATCATAGTTTAAACTTTCTGGAAGGTCAAGACGATTATGTAACAATTAACTAATGTACAAGCTTACGCTTGTCTCAAAAGGCAAACAAACTTTGTTTTCAGAAAGATGTCCTGCAGACTTTGTCACAATATAGTATAACTCCGAAAACATGCATTTCTGTGTTTATGAATTCCCACGAAGACTGTTTAAAAAGATAATTTAATCAAATTAAACACCAAATATACGCCTACTTTACATACTAGTTGTTGAAATACTTTAGCGTATTTTAAAACGGTTTCCTTGAAATTTTGGTTAGTCTTACTGAAACCTTTAAATTTCAAAAACCAACTTCCATCCTATGCTATTGAAAGCGGTGGAATGATGTTTAGCTTTGGTGTATTATCTCTTCACAAAAACGCTTATACAGTTGATAGCATAAAGACTATGAGTCAATAGGATTTATGATGAAAAATAAAAATTACCTTCACCGTGATATAGGGCAGCATTTTGTTCAGTTTTTCGATCTCAGAATTAGCTGGTCTTTACCTTTGAAGTATGAGCAAACTCCCAAGTTTTACTGTTTTAGCAGTGAGACTTTCTAAAACGGTAATATTGAGTTAATATTAAACTCACTTCCCATCAGCATAATCAAAAGGCCATTTTTATGAATCTGAGCAATATTTCATGTACTTAGTTTCCTTTAAAAAGTGATTTATTCTTGAAGCCGATGAACAGTTGAATATATGGTAGAAAATGATGGAGAAATTTAGAAAAGGACTGTTTAAAGTATAGCTGAAATACCTGAACAGTTGTTTAAGTTGCAATACTTCATGTGAAGACATCGAAAAAATGCCATAAAGACAGAAGGAAATGAAGATATCTATCAATAGTTGTAAGAAAAATAGAAGACGCTTGAGACAATAGTAAATACTATAGGACAGTTAAAGTTTGAGGGCTCATAAGAATATATGAATGCATTCTTTTCATCGAAACCGATCTAAGGCACGTCACCTAAATTTTCTAACCACCTGTTTTGATTTTCTCCTATATATCACTTACGAAGCCTAGGGTTTCTTTGCGCTACCAGTAGCGTTTGAAGTAAGTTATGTAGCTTCATATTTTGTTCTATACTTCTACCTCTTCCAAGCTGCCTAAAATTACGGGGGCTTGAATTTTGAGAGTTTTGATTAATTTGATCGTTATTGTTTATGACACTTAGCAGTCACCTTAACACTTCACTGAATATTTCATTGGAACTCTTTGTTGTTTTTGACTGCCACTTTATATCCGAAAAGCTTCCACTTTAAAAGCGTTTATTACCTCTAAGAATCATAGGGTAATTTGTATCTCATTATTAAATTATTCTATGTCTAAGGATGCGATAAAACAGCAATTTCAGTGGAAGTGTATATAAACTATTTACACAACTTTCTTAAGGTAAGAAAGTTATTTAACTGATATTATTTAGATTGTTGCGAATACATCTTACTATCAAAGTAAAATTTATTTCATTCTGTTCAGCCTTTATCCGTAGTAGAATCAATTCTTTCGTAACCAGCTGAACATTATATCCGTATATAAAAAGTACCGTTTATTTGTAAGTACGCGATCAAGCGTATTTAATTACCTAATATGTCACGACAAATAATTTAGTAGTGTAAATAATATTATGCATATCAAAAGACCATATCAACTTGAAACTTCAGGCAAATATAGAATAAAGGTTATTTGTGTTTAGTATTCGTCAAGATTTTTTAAGTGAGATACAAATTTCTAATAATTTGATAAGATATGCTTGGTTAGATGTATGTATTTATTCTCTTCGATTTTCCGGAAAGAAATTTAACTTTTATTTACAGGTATTAATTTGACAGATTCAATTTTTCACCGATTAATTTATTTGCAGGTCATTAAGCTGTGGTGATACTTTTGAGGGCAATAATATTTTTCCTTGCTGAGAGATAAAAGGGGAGAGGTTTTAACTGGTACACTGGGTACACTGGTACAGTATTATTTACTGAATGAATTTCAGCTTAACTGATAGAATATATTTATGCAACATAACATTGGAGCAATTGCGGACAGTAAAGCAACTAGTTTATTAGCTTATTCAGTTCACTGTATGATTATGACCCATTAAGTTGATAAAAGCTAGTCAACTATCAGAAAGCAAACAGTTTACGTGACTATTTAGCTCTGATGGATTTTCTGTATCGAAATCAAACTGACAATGATTCAACCCCTACTCTGTTTTATTTTTGTTAACCAAAAAATAACTCGATAACACTTAGCATTTATATTTACTCTTGATTTGTCGTGGATGCTTACTTGGTTGTAATGAAAGGAGATGGATCTGGGGGTGTTTTATAGGATTCATTCAGTGTTAACTTACAGCCTTCATGATTTGAAAAACATATATATTTTTTAGGATTCCTAGGTGTTAACCACTACTGTGCTATGCACAGAAAACAAAGTAACAGTTTCCAAATTCAATAAAAAGATTTTTCTCGCCTTAGTCAATAGTAGTTGTTGTTCATTGGAGTGTTTAGCATGTAAATATGAACAAACAGTGCATTTCACATTCTAAAGCTAGTTATTTCCTGCCAATAGTTTCACTAGTTTGAAAGATTGCAAATAAGAAGTGTTTTGGTCTATACTTAGTAGAATGTAATCATAAGTGTTTCAACCTCAGAATGTCTGTATTTTGGTGGTTTGAGTTTCATTATTTGTTAACAATTGTTAAAACACGAAGTAGCCTATGAACTAATTAATTTGACAGCAGTTTTCTGAGTAACTGCATGTATTTTATTCACCTTTTTAGCTTTGACCAGGAGATTTGAATTTAAGCAAATTAAGTACATCACTAGGTGTACAATTGGCATTCGCCTGGTTAATTAGTTGACTAGTCACTAGCCGGTCGTAAGCCCAGATAAAAAGGGAAGGTTGGGCATAGAGCTAGCAACCCTACCCCGTAAAACCAATTCAATCGCTAAAGAAACTTCAAAGCACGAAGAAAATATAAAAAATAGAAACAAACTAATCCCTCGCTGGGATCGGAGAGACGAAATGACGCCGGTTGATTAAAGCCTTCAGAGAGCCAATTGGCCGATGTGTCTTCTCTCGATGAAAGTAAAAGTAAGCAAAGTGACACGAAATGTTTGCACAAGGTTTGTAGCTGGCTGGCAAGGCTGCCCGGATCGCACAAGAAATGAGAAGATATGGCACAGAATAGAAGTGCTAGGAATCCGCAAAAGCAGATGGAATGGAAGTGGACTCTCCAAACTCTTAACTGCAGACTCAATAATCTACTCCGATATTGTCACTCAGACGACAACCACGAGCACACTGAGTTTTCGAGTGGCTATCATGATGTCCCCAAGAGAATCAAAGGCTCTCAGGCAATGCGAACCAATCTCCTCCTTCAGGATCATGACGGCAAGATTCGACTTAAAAGGCAGGAAAGTCATAATCATACAATGCTACGCTACGCATCTACAAATAATGCAGACCAAGCGAAGGAGAACGAATCCTACAGACAAATGCAATCAGTACTGCACAAAACCCCACTCCAGTTGGCCACATCAAAATTCATCCTAATGGGTGACATGAATGCCAAACTCGGAGCGGACAACACGGGAAGAGAACCAATCATGGGTCAAGAGACACTCGGTGAAATGAAGGAGAACGGAGAACTGTTTGCAGAATTTTGCACATTTAACGATTTGGTGACTGGAGACAGTGTGTACAAACACAAGGATATTCACAAAGCGAGCGACATAGACTTCACCAGACACAACAAAATCAGATCGACTTCATTTCAATGTTAAGAAAGTGGAGACACACGCAGCCTACTGGACACAAGATCAGATCAAGAAAGGGAACAGATGTAGGTTCACATCACTCACTGCCTAGTTCAAGGAACCTACTTCCAAAATCAAGTTGAAAGCCTTCACAGAAGTTGGTGATAGACCACAGTTCAACAGAAAGTGAACTGAAAGACGAGTCTACAAAGGACATCTTCACATCAGCCATCAGGACAAAATGGGGGACATTCAGCAACATCCCTGAAGAAACCTATGTGAAAGAGCACTAGAACTATTTGAAAGAGACGTGGAAAGAAACCTGCATAACCGTGTTAGGAAGGAAGAAGAAGCAAGACAAGGATTTGATCTCGACGGACACATGGAAGGTGATAGAGGAGGGAGAGGAAGATGGTGAAGCAGAAGATGAACCAACGCATTGCAGTGCAGTGAAGTGCAGTACAGTGCAGTGCAGTGCAGGGATGAACAACGAAAAGAGGAACTGAACACAACCTATACAACACTACACTGGACAAAAAAGTGAAGTAGAGTGTGCGTAAGGACAAAAGACATGTCTACGACACACTGGCAAGTGAAGCATAACAGGCTGCTGGTAGGAGAGACCTGACAACATCATATCAAACAACCGGGTTACTATCTGGGAATAGATCAACAAAAACGAAACCAATGAGGGATAGTGAAGGAAACTTAGTTACCGGTAAAGAGGAGAAACAAAGGAAACAATAGGTTGACCACATTGAAAAACTCTTGAACCGACCACCACCTGCAACTTGTCCATAAAATATCACCTGCAGCCACAGAACTATCATTGAACACAAGAGCTCCGACAAAAGCAGAAGTGAAGTCCTGAACGCCATAAAGTCGCTGAAATCCGGAAAAGCAGCAGGACTAGATGGAATTCCTCCAGAAGCACTGAAAACAAACACAGAGACAACAGCGGATACGCTCACACCACTATTGCAGAAGGTTTGGAAGGAGGGAAGGAAAGGTACCAGCAGATTGGAAGAAGGGCTACCTAGTCAAACTTCCAAAGAAGGGAGACCTGAGTCTTTGCAAGATCTGGCGCGGAATCATGCTCCTGTCCCTGGGCACACCAAACAAAATATTATGCCGCATCATCCTGGAGAGACTAAAAAATACTCTGGATTCAAAATTACGACCAGAACAGGCTGGCTGGCTTCAGGCAAAATAAATCATGTGCGCATCATCTCATCATAGAACACAGCATAGAATGGCAGTCAACTCTCTACCTCAACTTCATCGATTTTGAAAAGGCCTTTGACAGTGTCGACCAAGAAGTAATTTGCCAGGCAGCTGCTTCAACACAACGGAGTACCATGTACCTTTATCAACCCCCATTCAACAACTATAAGACGACACCACATGCCAAGTGATTCACAATGGAAAGCTCAGTGACGCCATTTGAAATGAAGACAGGAGTAAGATGAGGCTGCCGGCTACTATCACCGATTATCTTCCTGACTGTGATGAACTGGACTGGATCATGCAACAGACAGCTGTGAGGAGTGAGAAGATGGGCATACGCTGGCTGGACCGATGAAAAGAGCCTTGAAGATTTGGATTCCACCGATGATTCATGTCTAATGTCGCACAACCTCGAAGATCTACAGGCAAAAGCCAACAAGTTGCCAGAAGAGGCGAGGCAGTGAAGACCGAACTTCTTCCAGGTGAACGTAGAGAAGACAGAGGTGATGAAGATACCCAACAACAACAACAACAACAACAAGCACCAATCACCACCTACGGGAGAAATCGAAAGGAAGTAGTCTCTTTCACTTGTCTAGGCAGCATCGTTTCAACTACAGGCGGTGGCACAGATGAGGACGTCAAAGCCAGGATCGGAGAAGTAAGACAGGCCTTCATTAGCCTGAAATCAGTGTGGAGATCTACTGCACTCAACACGAAGAATAAGATCCGGATTTTCAACACCAACGTCAAGTCAGTGCTTCCATGTGATGGTTGAGAGACTTGGCGCGTTGCGAAAAGCATTTCCAACAAACTACAGACATTCATCAACAGTTGTCGCCTATGCTCACTCGATACTGAAGATCAGATGGATGGCCAGAAGGAATAAGCAACAAGGAACTCTCGCCGGGCAACGAACCAACCAAGAACCCATCGCCCAAAAAATATGCAGAAGAAAGTGGAGATGGATTGGATTGGATCAGGCACACACTGAGAAGGCCGATTGGGGACATCACGCGCCAGGACATGCCGTCGAGGCGAATCCGAATGGGAAATGATGAGTTGGGCGTCCCAGGTGAGGGTGACATGGAGGAGATCATGTGAGGAAGAAATGAAAGCTTGTGGGCAGTCGTGGAGTCAGTTCCAAAAGACTGCAGGGAACAGAGTGCAACGGTGACATGCTACTGAAGTTCTGTGTTCCACTATGAACCCATTAGTCTTGTAATTATCATGATAATAATCTTGATAGTGTAGTTGTTTTTATATCATATCATTGCCAGCCACGATGCTTCATTGAAACAATTATATTTATCACGTTTATTTCTTATTGATGATTATGGTTACTGGTTATAATTATAGAGTTCACTGTTCATATGGCTCCCCTGTAGGTTTAGATGACTATTTTTTAGAGTATAGAAGAAGAAGTTAGGATACATATCAGTGTCCTACTACAGTTTACTGAATAATAAGAAACTTCACTGAATCTTCGCAATATTGGCATCACCTTCCTTACTTTTCCTCTCTTCATTTCTATGTTTCTTTTTGTTTAGTCAAAGATCTTTGTACTTTTTATTTCCGCTTTCTGGCCTATCAATGATTATTAGTTTTCGTCCTGTCATCTATGATGGGAGTGAATGGTGAATGCTGTGTAAATATCTTTTCTGTTTTTGAATATTCTTCTACTACTGTTGATCAACACTGTATATTATTGCAAGTTGAAGGTAGTTTAACGGATACACTTTTTATGAGGTCCTCCTTTTTTTCTTTTGTCAGTTTTCATGAAAGAACTACCTTTCTGTTTTCCTATTTTTTATTAATTTGTTGATTAGAGTGCACCTATGTGGTTAATTTTCATTAAACTTTATATGGAATTTCCTTTTAAAATATTTATCAGAATTCATATTTTAATTATTTTTAAGACTGAAAATGCGTAGTGCCTTGGCAGTTGAAATCTGAAAAATAGTTTTTAGCCTTTATTTTTATAACTTTCAACTCTCGTAAATATATTTACGTAATGATTAAAGTTCTGAAAATTATTTTTATTTCACAGGAGTTTGATCGACAACAGTCTTTTCGTGTGCATGAGATGTTTGAAGAAATTGACCGCATCTTATTCGACAATTTAACTTTCGATTCGCGGGACCAAACACAGAAAAATAACGTAAATACTTCACCTGATGACAAAACCTATTATTCTATGAACAAATCGAACTGTCTTAATTTCCCTTCGTACACCGATGACTGTCATCCAATAAATATAGATAATTTAAGACTATTATCCTCAAATCCAGAAGAAACTCAAAATTTACGTAAGCAGTGTGTTGTATTTCAGTATGTTATTATTTTCTAATAAACCAGCAGATACATTGCACAGGTCAATTTTAACTAAGTGCTTGTGACTTAGTTTGCACTAGTTTTATTAGAAATTTGTAATTACTACAGTTTACCGTGTGTGAGGGGAAGAGAGAGAGAGATGTAGTTTGTCACTTCATTGATAATGGAAATGACCAAACTTGATAAGTTCATTGCAATCTATTATCATCTTAAACTACCATTTAAGTTCTTGGGTAGGATTTGTTTTTCATGAAAAATATTTCTTAGAACTGACAAGATCAAAGAAATTTCAGCATATCGCTTTTTTCGTGGTTGATAAAGATGTTTTTTCTGAATATAACATTTCTAAAATTTCACGGCGAGGCTAAAAGTTATCATCAGGTGTTATCCACCTCATCATAAGTTGCAGGGTTGTTTGTGAAAATACGACCTTTTTCTGTGTTTTATATGAATATCTCACCTATTTGCATAGTTTTAAAATGCCATCTGTCATTGAATCGTGTTTTAAACTGTTTATTCATTTGAGAAATGTTGGCTGCATTTCCAATTCTCAGGCGGAAAGTACCTATACTCATTCAAGATGATTGATGTTCGCTGATCACAGTGAGTTAGTTGAGGCTTCAAATACATCGGAAAGTATTTATGATTGCAGTTTTTGCCTCAGAATGCACGCATACAGAATACATAAAATACATATTTTCAGACAGAACGCTATTACACCTGAGGACAACTTTTAGTCTCACCCAGTTTCTCTCCGACTGTGATTGAAATAGTTCGGACACAAGCTGTGGTAAATTCCTATGGTGGGATCACTTCTGATTCTTTTATACGAAGTACTGATCAAAACCCTATGAATTTATATATATATATATATATATATATATATATATATATATATATATATATATATATATATATATATATGGGGTTGCAATTGCCTCATCTGTAAAGGTAACAAAATCATTGAATATTTAACCCACTTATTTAACAGGTGCCTCTTGACCAACCTCTTATATTGCAGATTTTGAACCGGTTAAATTTCAATTTTCATGTTTTATTCGGTGTGCAAGACAGGCGATTGTTAAAGAATTTTCGCTTCAGTATCTAGAATTCGTTGTTCAGTTTCGATGTGAATCTGTCGTACTTTTAGATTTTCATGGATAGTGAGAGTGATGGACGATGATCTTGTCTTCTATGTTATGCAATGTAATCGCTAGCTTATTTTGTAGCCAATTATTTCTGTCAAAAGTATACTCGAAGTAATCTTTCGAACACTTTCATGGTTGTATGATTTTATCAGCTTACAGTTTGAATGTACAGCAACTGATTCAAAGTTCGACGTGAACAAGACACTGTTGTTAACTTTCTTTCGTAATAGACAACCAACTTTGAAGAGGGCTATTGACTATTTTTAGTAAAATAAGTTGGCTGTATACCTCATAGTGTCACTGGTCAGTTCTTAGAAATGAGATTACGACAGCATATATTCTGAAATAGACTAGTAATCAATTCAAAAAGCATCCTGAAATCAGTGTTGACTACCGGTCTTAACTTTCTGTGAAAGGGTGTAGTTTCTTTCAACTGCTCAACATTGCACTGATACCGGTAAGAAATCTAAATAGCTAAAAAGCAACTGTATATGCAACCTTAGTAATTGTTTGTTTTTCGGTGAATTTCAGTCAGCAGTGTAATTTAAACCGTAGTATTTTTCACTTTTCCTTGAATGGCTTCATTGGACATCTGTATGCATTAAACTTGTTTAAGTGTTTTTAATAAATTAAGTTTAACTTTTAGTCTTGTTAGGCATTTTTAGTTTGAGTTGATTGTGCGGAGTACATCTTCCAGAGATCCGATAGTGTCTCGAAAGTAATAAACATTAGACTGAGACGCGTTATATACCTCTAACAGAAGGCTGTTAGGTTTCAAAAGAACTTTCATTCAATATCCCTCATATAATTGAATTCAAAATATTAGAAGAAAGACAATTATATAATAATTTCGCATCAGGCTAATCATTCTTCTCGGTGTTAATCATATCTACGAAAGCAAAACAATCCTCATTCGCTGATCAATGGACAATGCTTAAAACTTGTCGGGAATAAGTATATATATTTGAACCTATTTTAGAATTATTTGCAATAGACTTCTGGCTAAACTTCGTATAGACTCGTACACCGAAAGTCTTATACAATATAACTTTCGCAGAATGTGTGACTGAATTTTACGTTCATGAAATATTTCCTTCCTTATGTCTGGCAACTCCACTTCAGAAAATGACTGGTGTTTCGGCATGTTAAATGAAAGCAGCTGTAGAAGAACCTCCAGTAGCCCATTGTTTGTCTTATTTTATGGGTCAAACAGCTTGTTATAATTATAGTAAACCTTTAGTCCTTTACTTTGTCTTTCTTTGTCAGCACAACATAATTAACCTAGTACTTACCTGTTAATTTAAATTTATGCATGAAACCATGGCAACGCCTTATGTATTCCACTGGAAAACAGTTAAGTGTTAGTTTGTTGATGCAATGTTGGCTGAAATACACATAAAAGTACTTTGTTAATACACAGAAAAGTTAATGCTTGGTTAAGAGTTTATATCAGACAAGACTAAAAATGTCAGCATCATCACATGAATGATGTTAACGTTTCTCCGTTCTCTTGATAATATCTATTTAGTTCATTTTTTGAAACTACGAAGACTGATAATGGCGATAAGGTGAATTGACGAACGTCTTCAAAAGTTACTTTTGAATGACTTTTACCATTATAAAAATACAAGGGAGAGTAGCAGTTTTCATGGGTTCATATCTTTCTCAGCCACTGAGTTCTGTGTCTAATCTTTTTTTAATCTTTGTTATCAAATGTATTTCATGTACTTAAATAAACACAGAATATCGAGTAAAAAACTACCTGCTCTTAAAATGATAATAGATTTTTAACAATCAATCTTAAGAAGAGTATACGACAAAATATTTTAAATAATCTGTCATTCAGTCAGTATCATCATGAGGTCTAGAATTAGGGCGTTACGGTTCAAGTTACTGAACCTTATAAAGACTCATCAGTTTGCAAGGCAAGAGGACGAAAGACAAGGAAATGGAAATACTACAATCAAAAGTCTAAAAAAGCAACAGGATATAAATCTAATCGACGAATGTAATATAACGGCCTAGATGAAGGTAAGGCTTGACTTTATCTGTACCTTTGTGAACAAATCTTAGTCATACCATCTGGAGCGTTCAACCTTCAGTCTCAGCTGTCTCATGGATCTTATTAACAAGGAAACTTACGCCTCCCTATATAAGTGAAATCAACAGCCAGGGAGTTCATAGGTTAGTTGGATGGAGGAAATCGGCAAGAAACTCTAAACCTAGGTTTCATGATTTTTGACATTATAACAAAGTGTATCTGCAACCTATACGAAACTGACGTCACCCTAACATTCAAACTTGAGTCAGTCAGGTATACAGTCAGAGACGTTACTTCTGAGGTCTTCGGGCGGAGATTGACCTCCTGTTAGATTAATTCTACATTTTAGTGTGAGGGCCTTAAATTTTC